GTATTTGGAGTGTTCAGTAATGTTTGGCAAGGACTGACGAAGACTTGAATTTCTCTCTTGCTTCAGGGTAGTGATTGGTACAAGTTAGAGGTGATGAGGGCTGTTACTGATGCTGCTTTCACTGACCTGAATCAAGCTCAGAGTGGCCTTGCTCAGAGTGGCCTCTGGTCTTCGAGGTTGAGTCTGTGACCATGAGTAAATCAAGTTATAGAGTAAACTGCAAGTCTGTAGAGGAGAAGCTCTGTCTTATTTTTTTCTAAGAATTCTGAGGCTTCTTCAAGTAACAAATATGCACCCAACCTCTTATCCTTTACTTCACAGCTTCATCTCTGAGCTACAACGATGGCTTCAAATGACAAGTTTAGGTCATCCAAATATGTTGTAATACAGTCAGTATGGCAGCACTAATTTGATGCTTGCTGAAAAACAGTTCTTTTAAAGATTTATTTATTTATTTTAGAGAGAAAGAGAGAGAGCGCGAGTGAGCATGAGGGAGAGAGGCAGAGGGAAAGGAAGAATCTCAAGCAGACACGCTGCTGAGCTTGGAGCCCAACACGAGGCTCGATCTCATGACCCTGAGAGATCATGACCTGAGCCGAAATCAAGAGTTGGACGCTTAACCGACTGAGCCAGCCAGACACCCGAAAAACAATTTTTATCAAGGAGTAGGCTATTAATTTCTTCATTAATTCATCAGTGATTTATTTGTCAGGAACCATTCTTTTTTTTTTTTTTTTCAAATTTTTATTTAAATTCTAGTTAGTTAGCCTATAGTTCAATATTGGTTCCAGGAGTAGAGTTTAGCAATTCATCACTTGCATTTAACGCCCGTGCTCATCCCAACAAGTGCCCTCCTTAATACACATCACCATTTAACCCATCCCCCGCCCATGTCCCTCAATCAACTGTCGGTTTGTTTTCTTTCCTTAAGAGTCTCTTATGGTTTGTTTCCCTGTCCTTTTTTTCCCCCCGTTCCCATATGTTCATCTGTTTAAACTGTTTCTTAAATTCCACACATGAGTGAAATCATATGGTAATTGTTTTTTCTGACTGACTTGTTTCACTTAGCATAATGCAGTCTAGCTCCAGCCACTTCATTGCAAATGGCAAGATTTCATTCTTTTTGATGGCTGAGTAATATTCCAGCGTGTGTGTGTGTGTGCACATCTGGGCTTGTCAGGAACCATTCTAAATGCTTGCAAAATAATGCTTACTCTTTGGAGGGATAAGCCCTTGAAGAAACAACTTAACGGAATGCTGTATCAGTGCCACAGTGGAGATAAGAGGCCAGTGTGGTGACTGAGGAGGACTGAGGAGGAATGACTTTTAGTGATAGAAGCGTCACGGTGGCAGTCATGGCTCAACTGGGTTTTGAAGGATGAATAGGATCTGACCAAGCAAAGAAGAGAAAGAAGATATTCAGTTCAGGGAGGTGATAGCTCTGTGGCTTAGAGCTCTGAAGGAATGGCAAACTGCAGGTGGGGGGATGTTCACAGCTTTAGCAATGTGGGGGTGGGGATGGTAGGGTGTGTTTGTGCTGGAACAGCATGTAATTGTGTGTGAAGTAGAGTAATGGAACCCCCTGACATCTGGAATAGCAAGCAGTTTCTGCAGCTATAAACCAAATGTCAGTCTTCACATACAGGCAATGAAGAGGAGGTTGTTCATTTATTTATTTTTTTGTCAGCCACATCCGCACACACAAGATAGCGATCTCCATCTGTGGTGTAATCTTTAAATAGAAATGGAGCTTCCTGCTGAGGGCTCAGGCGTGCTTTCGGTGAGCCCCATTTACCATGCTCTGTGACATCTCACTCACAGAGTCTCACCCCAGCTCTGTCAGTGTCTGTGAGTGGTCGGAACATTTCATTCCCACCCAAGATGGTGAGCACCTTCTGGGGAAGGATCACTCCTTAGGATTCTCTGTAGCTTGAATGGATTTGCCTTCAATGTTGACTGAATGACTATATGAATTCCAGTCACAGGCCATCCTGGAGAACCTATGGTTCTCCAATATGACCTTGGTTTTTGCCACTGACCACACTCATCCTCCTTGTCCAGGCTGCCATTGACAGCCCCCAACTCTGCCTCTGTGACCTGTTGGGAAAAACATTCATCTGGAGAAGTTGTTTCAAGCTATGAAACAGTCATTTGATTAAAAAGCCAGTGGTTAAAGTGCTGAAGACTTCCTTTGGGAGGGCTCACCTCCTTTGCAGACCTTTGTAGGGCCCTCCTATCCCTGCTCTTTCCCGAAGAGCACCCCTCACCTCACACTTCTCCAGCAGAATCTGCAAGCTTTGCGTATCATCTAATTTTACCCATCTCTTTGTCCATTCCCTTAGGGCCTTGTTCTCTGAAGTTGGCTAATGGCTAAAGTCATCTGTGCCAAGGTGCTAGAGTCTGGAAATTCAACTTGAACTTTAATAGGACTTGGTTGAAAGAGGGAATTGACCCAAAACCGAGAGAAAGGGACTTTTGACCTTTCTCACATCAAGTACCCATTCTGGACATGGATTCAGAATTCCATTATCCAAGGCAGCTCAGAGTAACTCAAACTCTGTTTAGGCGCTTTGGTGAGCAATTCTCTGACAGCAGATGAAGTTGAGGATAGTAAAATGATTCCTTCTCCTCCCATCACTGGCTGGGAGTTTATTTAAAAAAAATATATATATATATAGCAGGAGACTAATTGTGAATGAAATAAAGGACATCAAAAGAATCTTCCTAATTAACTTACATACTGATCATTACCATTAGAAAATGAGTCAGCCTAAAAACACATGTAATTGCAGTCTTCCTGTGTTGTGCGAAGCCTAGAGATTGAAGAACTACATTATTAGCAGGAAAGGACAGGCCATGGTGACATCCATCATAAGGAAGAGATGGTTTTGCCATCACTTACTGTGGCATGTGACATTTGCTTGACTGACTGCAAAGCATTTGATGCCCAGGAGGCTGGTCGTGTCTTCCCTACACAGCCAGTCTGTGAGCGACGAGCACGTGTTACACTCCTGTTTGGCAAATGGGAAACCGAGGAACTGGAAATTGTAACTAGAATTAAGCGAATCATTAAAGTTTAGGGCAAAATTGTGAGAGAGACCTTGGTGCCTTATTTCTCTTACTGTGCTCTTTTCCCTCCCTTCTTGATGCTTCTTGCTGATTGCATAGTTGTCCTATTACAACTTTCCTTGGGAGAAAAAGGGTGCTTTTTATACCTCTGTGTGAATGTTAATCATCCTCGTAGAGGGCACTTGACTATGAAATCTTACCTCTAATAATGATGCAAAAATTTTTTGAAGGGGCTCTCCTAACCCCTAAATTCCTAAAGAGAGTACAGGCATCCATAATTAGCATAAATCTGGTGGAGGGGGAAGGAAGAACAGAACAAAATCTTTCCTGGTGTCCTTGACATCCCATTGCAGATGTGCCTTGCATAAGGTGAGGTATCTAGGAACAGGTGGAGTAGCAGAGAACAGTTGAGTTTCTTCTGATGACGCAAGTGTGAAGGGCTGATTTGCTAAGTTAATCGAAAGAGATCCTTTCATGGAGTATATATTATGAGAAATTCCATGAGAAATATGTGATGCCCAGATTGGGTATTATTGATTAGTAGAATTGATGTCTTAGTTCAGTCAAAATACAATAAACAAAACCAGTTTGTATGTCATTACTTATTCAAATATTTCTAATTATATGGCTTTAGGTAGGTGTTCTTAATCTTATTAGTGCCATGAACTTTGGGGCAGTCTTCTGAAGCCTTTGGGTCAGTCCCTTGACAAAATAGTATTTTTATTTTTTTAAGATTTATTTATTTGAGAGGGAGAGAGAGAGCACACATGAGCAGGACGGGCAGAGGGAGAGGAGAGAATCTCAAGCAGACTCCTCGCTGAGCATGGAGCCCATCATGGGGCTCCATCTCATGCTCTGAGATCGTGACCTGAGCCAAAACCAAGAGTTGGATGCCCCCAGAATAGTATTTTTAATGCATAAAATCAAACACTTAAAATCTCAAAGAAAACCAATACTACTGAAAGACATTCATCAAAATTTTTGAAAATTTGTGATATATGCTTTATTAATGAATTAAAAACAAGATCTAGTGCACAGATTTGATTTCATAACTTCATAGTAGTGATGAGCACCAATAATATTTTAAGGTATCTGCAACAACTATACTGTGATTTAAAAATATCTGGTATTTCTATGGAGGTGAAGTTACAATTACCTGAATACCTGAGGCTACTAGTGACTACTGGTCCATGTTTATAGTGGAATGAAGTGCTATGTTTAATTCAACATTGGTGAAAGTTTTGCAGCAGGCTTCCTGGCTTAACAGTCTGTCTACCTCCTTGAACTGTGTGGTGTTGGAGGGAAAACACAGCCTTTGAATTGCAGCTCTGAGTTCAAGTCTCCATGAAGACTTTACTTCCAGGGTGACTCAGCTATTTTAGTTAAACTTTAGGAATTTAATTTGCTTTTTTTTTTTTTTAATTTGCTTTTTTTAAGATGGGAGAATATTGAATTCTGCATGAAGTTATTGAGCAGACTAAATGATATAATAATGTATATTCAACATCTAGCACAAAGCCTGTCACCAAGAGGGAACTCAGCAAGTAACACCGTAGGCACTTTTTTCCCCACAGTCAAAGGGAAAGTGAAGGAGGTAAGATGATTTGTAAAGGTTAAGTCTTGCATTAAGATCCTGGTTCTGGGCAATTTGCTGCCTGAGATAATGTACATACAGTCTCTTAGTTTCAAAAGAATTTGAGAAGGAAGATACTTTGGAAAATGTATTCCATTTTATGCATCTCTAAACCAAGCCATAAATCTAGCTGTCTAAAATTTCAAGTCTGTAAAATTCAAGCAAATTTTTGGGAATTAATTGTTAAAAGGTATTTAAATTCCAGTGAAATGATACCATTTTAGGATTTGGAATGCTGGCTTTTCTGTTTTATGGTAATATTAAGATTTTAGTTGAGTTCTTATCTTCTCCCATGCAGAACTGAGAGGGGGTAACATGCCAAGGAGCCATGTAGGAGCCCATTTGGAAGAGGACAAAACCCCAGTCTGCTCAGGAGCCTGAGCCACTCCCTCAAGCCAAAGATCAGAAACAAAGCAGGTACTGGACACAATGGCCAAACTCAGGTGCTTTGCCAACATATTTAAAACGAGTTAATTGAGAAGAAACTTCACATGATATTTTCCCCAATGAGAACTTCCTGAATTTTAGCTTCTTAAGCTGTTAAGACGTTATTGGATTTTTGGAATTTTTATTGTTAAATATTCCAGATATCTAATCACTGATCATCAGATACCATAGAATCTAGTAAAATTTATTTGAATTTTACAACTTAAAATGTTAACTTTTAAAAAAATAGAACATATTGGGTGGTATAAGATGTAAGTATTCAATTTAGTGAAACTTGTTTAAATTTCTATTTTCAGATTTGGGAGGCTACAATCAAGGTCATTTGAGAAGTAAGACCCGGTGTCTTACCATTACCTATGGGTGTCCACATAGAAATTTATAGACATGGGAAAGGCTAGATAATGAGAATGCTCCGTAAAGAGGCACCGTACTTCACCAGGGAGAAATGCATCCAAGTTTCTTCACAAATGTTAAGAAATATGCCTATTTAATTGTATGTTGCATTTTCCATGGTCTTTGCTTTATTCATTTCATGTGCAGTGATTAAAAAGATATATTGTACATTTTATTATCTCTTATGTTTTCCAATAAATACAAACCTGACGTACTTTTTTTCTTTTTCATTCTTCTCAGAGGTGTGGTGAACATCGAATAAGATAATAATTTTGAAATGCTTGTCTTGTCCATTTAAGCTGCTATAACAAAATACTGAGTCACTTATGGATAACAGAAATTTATTTCTAACAGTTCTGGAGGCCAGAAATCTGAAATCAGGGTGCCAGCATGGTCAGGTGAGGGCTGTCTTTCAAATTATAGATTTCTTGTGCCCTCATTTGGAGCCTTTTTAATAAGGCACTAATCACCTTCCAAAGACCCCACCTCCTAATACCATCACTTTTAGGGGTAGGAATTTGACATATGGATTTTGGGAGGACACACTCTGTGAGACTGTGGTTTATAAGAATTATATGTTTGGTCATTCAGATGACCAAAATATACAGTAGTCCCCCTTTTCTGCAGTTTTGCTTTCCACAGTTTATTACCTGAGGTCAACCGTGGTCCAGAAGCAGATGATCCTCCTCCTTACGTGTTATCAGAAGTTCAGTGGGAGCCTAATCCTACGTCACGGTGCTTACATCATTCCCCTCACTTCACCTCATCATGTAGGCATTTTGTCATCTCACATTATCCCAAGAAGGAGGGTGAGTACAGTACAATAAGACGTTTTTAGAGAGAGAAACCACATTCATATAACTTTCGTTATGATATATTGTTATAATTGTTCTATTTTATTATTGTTGTTGTTAATCTCTTTGTGTGCCTATTGTATAAATTAAACTTTATCATAGGTGTATATGTATAGGAAAAATATAGTGTGTATAGGATTCTCTGCTATCTGTAGTTTCAGGCATCCACTAGGGGTCTTGGAATGTATCCCCTCGAATAAAGGAAGACTACTGTATTTCTCATATATATTTGGTTTCTGTCAACAGTTCCTGGCTCATAGTTTCCCAAACCCTTGGCATTTCCTAAGTGTTGAGAGTGACAAAGGTGTCTTATGTTAATGAGATGACTTCTGGAAAGCACCTAGGCTGGGGGTACTTTCCATGAGAACCAACCATATGATCAGGTTGGGACTCCCAGTTCCACTCCCCAACCTTTGAGGAGGGGAGAGGCCCTCGAGGTTGATCTCATTATCAAAGGGCAATGATTTAGTCAATCATGCCTATATGATGAGGCCTTCATAAAAACCGAGAGGACAAGGTGTGGAGAGCTTCTGGGTTGGTGAATACTTGGAAGCACTAGGAAAGTGGTGCCCTGGAGAAAGTATGGAAGCTCCGCCCCCTTTCCCCAAGCCTTGCCCTGGGCCGCTCTTCCATCTGTTGTTCCTGAGTTACATCTTTTTATGCTAAACCGGCAATCTAGTAAGTAAGATGTTTCTCTGAGTTCTGTGGCTGTTCTAGCAAATTAATCAAATCCAAGGAGCGAGACTTGGGAACCTCTGATTTACAGCTGGTCCGTCAGAAGTACAGATAACAACGTGGGCTTGCAACTGGCATCTGAAGTAGGGAGGGCCATCTTGTAGGACTAAACCCTTGACCTGTGGAACCTGATGCTGTCTCTGGCCAGATAGTGTCAGAATTGAGAGAATTGAGTTGAATCCTCGGACACCTGCTGGGGGGCAAGGATTGTTTCTTGGTGTGGGGGGAACACCCTTCGCACACATTGGAATTGAGCCCAAGAACCAAAAAGACACTCAGATATAGTGGCTTGATAAACAAGGTTATCATTGATTGTTACTGCCATTGTGTTATAAATAGATGTTCTCTCTTAAGAAGATGGCTTATTTTATTACATCATAATCCAGCTAGTACATTCAAATTGCTATTGCCTTGAATGATTCTATAAGATATGCTCTTTGTGGGCGCCTGGGTGGCTCAGATGGTTAAGCGTCTGCCTTCGGCTCAGGTCATGATCCCGGAGTCCTGGGATCGAGTCCCGCATCGGGCTCC